TGTACACATCTGTTAGACACATGCCACACTGTTTACGTTAGTCCTGTCTTAAGTGAGTTCTGCATTCATTTCAGGTCTTTTATAATGCATTTTCAGCAGAACTAATAGATATTTGTTTGGCCATAGCGACGTGGCGATGAATGACTCATTGTGTGAGTGGCACCAATTGGAAGCCTGTTCTCCTCTCTACACTGAAATAATTGACAGTGGCTCATCTGCCAGCTCATCTAAATACAGAAACCTGCACTTGTGTTAACAGAAAGCAGAATCCAGGTCATGTCATCATGGCATCATCAATTAAAATAGCTCCATTGTCAAGCAGCTTCCACAGAGCCTGCTTCTCTCCTGATCTATAAGACAGGCTTTGAGAGAGAGAACAAGATAAGATGACAAAATTTGTTATATGTTTCACCTTAAAGGTCCAGTGGAAGTGCAGTTACAGCCACAACGTGACATATTTGTGTCTGAAATTGACTGTGAGTCAAAGAGCAATGGTTTTCATTATTTTTCCAGTGGGAAACACATTGGCATGCTGTGGTCAACAGGAGACCCACAAAACTATGAAAAACACACAATTTGGTTTGAGTGATTTTCAAGTTGAAAACACTTGAAAACATGCTAAACAGAAAAGCACGGATCCATAAAGGGTCGATAAAAGATCTGTCCAGTTTTCTTGATATCTCCTATCGTCTTGTATGGCCTGCAGCCAGGTAACTGCTGTTTTATTTACCCTGATGACGTGCTGTTCTCTTTAGATTTTTAGCTGCTGCTCGCTGTGACTCTTCATTTTCCTCAGTTGCAACACTGCCTGTCTTTTCTGGTTTTACTACTTTGCTAAATTAGAAATCAATAAGCTTTGATTTCGTATTGCTTGGGAGCCAACATGACACCGTGCAGTGCTCTAACTAGTGATGCTACAACATGAATGAGCAATGTGTCCAGTGTTCCTGTGACTTTTTTCTCTTCGTTGACTCAGTGATGATATTTAAAAATTGAGCAAAAGCCTAAATGTACTTCAAAAGGTTGCATGCTTATAGTTTAGTGACGTGTATTTTTCTTTCAGTTATTATAAACAATTCTTACAGAAGCTCACTACTTGTGCATCCAACAGCACTTCCACCATTGTGACCATTATGAGTTGCATGCTTGCCATGTTTTTCTGGTCACAGAAAGTTGAAAGACGTTTAATTTCCAACGCCAGCTCTTGAACCCAAACAATGGTAATACCTATGATGTTTCCTCACCCAGAAAATCTCATGAACCCACCCAGACCAGCAGGTTCATCCTTTCTATCTACTTGCTTCAGACTTCCCTTCCTCCAGAGCAAATACTTTGCCTTGTGTTTACATTTTTACATTCAGTACTTGTTGATAACACAAACTACTTGCAAAATTAGATAGCTACTTTTTGCATAGTTGCTCCCAAAACATATCAGCTGGAAAAAAAAAAAACTCACTCAAGCCCTGCAAAGTGGACATTTCTGAAGAGTGCCTGGTGTTTCCAGCTGGGAGAAAACACTTTGGTGGATGCACTCCCTTAGGGAAGGTTTCATATTTGTAGTCCATATTGCAGTCTTGTGTATGAATATTGTAGTTGTTGTTGAGTTTTCAAGGAAATATGTGTATTGGATGCATCCATGCTATTTACAGTTATGTTGAACCATGTAATGAGGATTTGGCCCAATGAATGCAGAGTTGTGTAAGAATATGGCAATGTGGATGAGGACAGAGGGGGGGAGAATGGTGTGACAGTTCGTTAGATGCAAGCCATGTTTTGTAAAACAACTAACTTTCAAACACCTTCAAACCCATGTTGTCACTCTGGTAGCCACTTTGACCCACAAGCTAATAGTCAAACTGTAATTATTTAATGGGAAGCGTCAGCTTGTTGCTTCAGATCATGTTTTATATAGTCTATGGCAGGATTACACTGAAAAACACACACACTTGCAATTGTCTGCTTTTCTTCCATCATTCCCTCTGTTGCTTTCACAGTGTTTCTTATCCTGCTGTACAGCCTTCATCTGATTTTAGCCTTAGAATTTTTCACATAATGACTCACACTACCCTGACAAACAGCCTAATAGCTTATCACATCTGTGCACACACAGGTTACATATGGATTTGTGTTTGTACAGACTTATATCCATCCACCCGCACATGGATTCACACACCCTAAACAAAATCCCAACCAGGTATTATGTATTTAAATTGGGAACCTGCTGTTTTTGTTCCTCCTGGTCTCCTGTACCTAACAGGCACTGCTGTGTAATGAGCAGAGGCTCTCCTCACACTTGCTCCTGGTCCACTTCTGCTGCTGTGTGTCTGCTGTTGCAGCGCTGACCAGAGGAGACACGCAGGCCTGAGTCCCAGGGCTAATTGCTGCTAGCGGGCTGATAGTCTTTCTGTGCTCCGCTCTCATTGACTCCCCGGACTCCAGGGGGATTCCCACAGGCACCCAAAGACAAACAAACCTGGGCGGACAATCAATAACGGATGCAAGAGTTACCGCTCAGCACAGTTGCTGATTAAGATTCTCTGCGATTGTGTGCGTGTGTGTGTGAGTATGTGTGTTTGTGCACGAGCTATGTAAGAGCATGAGCATGTGAAAGTGTTTGCTGTTTGTCCCCACTCTGTCAGTGCTAACTGGAATCTTCAGTCAGTCCCTAAGTGCTTGTTTATGTGATTTTGATTATTAGCATGAGGGCTCAGATTCATCCTCACAACAACAACAACAACAACAACACATTAATGCCCAGTTAATTATTCCTGAAAACATCTCAGGTTCACTACACGGTAGGTGCAATTGTGTCTGTACCTAAATGTGAGATCCATAATGAGCCTACAGTAAAAAAAAAAAACAAAAAAACAAGATTTTTCTTTTTTTTTTTTTTTAGGTAATTTGTTTCTATGGCAGTGATGAAATTCAACATACCAGGAGTAACAACTGTTCACTTTAAAACTCTCAATATGCCTAACAAAGAAATAATCATTTAAAGCCCATGATAACACAATATATATTTTATGTATAAAATACATATGAAATCCTTACTTTTTCCTTATCACGTCTTTAATTCTAATTTTATTTCCTCTGGCAGAATACTATTATTTCTAGTTTAAATATATCTTACTAGCTGTATTAAAGAAGTATTAGAAATACTTTCACGACTGCAATTCTGCAACGCTGCACGCTGAGGAATATTAAGTCAAAATTTAATGGCAAAAATGTGAAGGGGTAGTGTTGTGTATATATATTGTTTCTGTGGCGGATGCAACAAAGCAGCTCGTGGCATGACGCGTCCCTGTGCACCACTGACTGCCACTGGCCAGCAAGCAGTGCAGTCCTACATCTGGCTGTCATCTCGCCTTCCCCTCTCCCTCTCCAGGCCTCCATCCCCTCTCTAACCCTTTCTCTCCGGGTCTCGTGTTTGCTTTTGTTCTCATCTCCAGTCAGTCGGCCTGACTCACAATGATGATCTTGACCAAGCACAGGGAAAGGTCAAGGTTGGCCGGCAAATTGCCTCAAAGCAATCAGCCTTGTCTCTGTGCGCTAACAGTGTGAGCTCTCTGTCGCCGTCGCCATCTTGCCATCTCTCCATCTCTCCATCTCTCCATCTTTAGTCTCTTCTCCTCTATCTCTGTGTTTACCCGAGGGGGAAGACGTGTGTCAGTGAGGATTGGCAGCAGGAGTGTGTGTGTGTGTGTGTGTGTGTGTGTGTTACGGGGAGGGAAGGGGGGGTCTGCACTGCTTTGAAGTCTAGGCTCTGACCGGTGAGGGGCGATGGCTAGGAACTTGAAAGCACACAGTGTCACTGCCTGGGTGACATTTCAGCACAGAGGAGTGTGATCCAGCAGGGTGCCTGTGTGTGTCAGTGTATCTATGTGTGAATATGAGTGTGTGTGTGTGTGCGTATGCGTGTGTGTGTGTGTGTGTGTGTGTGTGTGTGTGTGTGGACAAGACGTAGTCGCCTCATGACTTCAAGCTGTCCTCTAGTCCTCAAGTACAACTGGCAGCTGGGAGGTGTTTGTCCGTGCACCAAAGGGATTACCTTTCATTACATGAAAAAACAGAATAGCCCCTACAACCTCTAACCCTTCACTCAACAATAGTGCCATTGGGATGCACCACTACAGCTGATCCCCCCACCCGTATATAAATACACACTCAGTAACTGGATCCAGCACACAGATTGTCCATGAGCCGTGGCTGCATGTAGTATTTCATGTGATTTCCAGAACACACACACATGCGCTTGCTAGGTGGCTCAAGGACAACCTCCTTCGGATCAGCTGTGCATTCCAGCCCAGTGTGCCTGAGTGGCTCTCCTCTGATGGCTTCTCACACATGAAAGGCTTCACTTTAATGTGTCACGGAGCACCCACACACTCAGCCAAACAACATCAAAAGTCTGCCCGTGGCCTGTTGCTGGATGAACGTCTTCATCTGCCGCCTGATTGTGTCTGCGACTGCCTTTCTGTCCATCCCGTAAATGGTGTAAACAGGTGTTAACATGTCAGCCCACAAGATGCCACATGCCGCCGTGTCATGATCTCCTGAACAGCTGTCCCCTACCACTGTGTGTGTGTGAGCGAGTATGGGTATGTATGTGTTTAGGGTTATAAATGGCCGCACAAGGAGCTTTAGCCCTAGATTTTGTGCAAAGCCAAGGACAAACAAAGAGAAAGGGCAAAGGATGAAAGAAGGCTTTATGCCAATGAAACTGATAGCAGATAGCAATAACTCGTTTTCCCAAAAAAAACTGCTCACACTGCATTTGTGTGTGTGTGTGTGTGTGTGTGTGTGTGTGTGTGTGTGTGTGTGTGTGAGTTTGCTGTGATTGTATGCACAGATGTGAATGAGAGCTTGAAGGTGATTGAGTAGGTAGGGAGAGAGACTGCTTAGGAGACAAAAAGTCTTCTCCTTTTCTCTCTGTTGCTCTCCGAGGATTAAAGAAGCAGCTAACCATCCCTAATAATGTAAATGTGCATTTCTGTCTTCAGGTGGACATCGAGACGATGGACTACCACCACTACCTCCCGCTGTTCTTTGATGGTTTATGTGAGACTGCTCATCCGTACGAGTTCTTCGCCCGTCAGGGAATCCATGACATGCTGGACCACGGAGGCTCCAAAATCCTGCCTGTCATTCCCCAGCTCATCATCCCCATCAAGAGTAAGTCGGCGAGGGTGTCTGCACTCACGGTTTACCAATCACACAAAACGGAGCTCCTCTCCCAAGTGACCCTGTGTGTTTATTGATGTCACTTGTGCCTGGACTGTGTTCCTCTTTGTGTGAATTGTGCAGCGATGTCGACACAAATAGAGCACAATTAGAGTATTGTTAAAAAATGTTTCTACGGAGCTCTAAAAATAACTATAAAGCTATAAAGTGCAAAGGAGGGAGACGATGAAAGATGAAATGTATGCATTTCAAATAATAATAATTTCATTATTGTTATTATTGTCATTATTATTGTTAATAATATCTTGTTTCCGCACTCAAACATGTGGTGCAATCACACAGGACCATTATCGCGGCAATTTTCAGCAATTAAAATACAGCAGCTATTCAATTAACTTTGTCAACAAAATGGTCCTACTATCTACATCATCATTTTCATTATTTTCGCCTTCGTAAATATTATTACTATTTTATGAATGATTGACAACCACGTAATCTTCTCAGACTTTCATTGCAGCCTCAATAAATATTTTTGCATGTCATTATTTCATTATTCACTGTTTTGATGACAGCATCATTAGGATCTGATCTCTGTTTGCTGACAAATCCCAAGACGAGAACGCATTCCCTGCTGCTGATAGCGGATCTATCGTCTGCCTTAAATAAGTAAGAGGCTAATAACACACTTAGGTTCAATTTAATTTTTCATATCACACCAAATCATAGCATAAGTCATGTCAGGGGTCTTTGCATAATACGGCCAAGATTTTACTTGTGGATACAAATTGAATGAAAGGCCTCGATAACTCAACATGAGGCATCACAAAGATGTCTGAAATTGTACAGAAAATACAATTAGGATTAAGTCAGTATTAATACGCACCAAAATCTTTTTTTTTTTTTTTTCCATTTTTATTTTTCAAAAATATCAACATTTCTTTGACAAATTACCTCAAAATATTTTCTTAAACCCTTCTCAGAATATTTAGCCTTGGCAGTGGGGTGCAACCGAAATAGAACAACATGCTCTTCCAGAAAAAGACTCACCTGTCTTACAGGCTAATGCTACAGCTGATTCTAATGTTACCATACAACCAGTCCTGGTGTGACGTCCTAATTTGGTTCCTAAGTCATACTGTTCCTATTATTACATTAACCCTCAGGGCGAAGCGTCCTTGTTTTTGCATTTGCCGGAAGAAGTTAGATCTAAAAGCACACCTGATAATCTGCCATGAATGTGGTGACATGCTACATTTAACTGTGTCATCGTGCTGTACCTTTCCACACTAACACGTTTCCAAGCACACACACAAGTAGTTGGCAGATGGAGGTGGGCGGAAAGGTCGTGTCTCAGGGCGAAGTGGTCTGCGACTTCCAAAATAGACATCAGAATTTACAGTGATGCGGACAGCAAAGTGTTTCATGTGGCGCGAGTACCATGAAAACCGGAGGAGTTTGAAAGAATGTGTGGCTTTTGTTGGGAAAATTCTGGCACACACGCACACACATGCACACACAAACTGTCTTTTGTTTGGCGCCACTGCCAAGTGGAGTGTCAGTTTCAAAGTGGGAGCCTTTAAGTGGCGCCCAGTGAGCCTGCGGTAGTGTTCATGTCATGGGCAGTTGGCTGGTAGTGTGTATGTGAAGTGTGTGTGTGTATGTGAAGTGTGTGTGTGTGTGTGTGTGTGTTTCTTGTCGATGTGTGGGTGTTGGATGTCTGTGGAGGCAGAGGGGCGTAACGGCCAACACTAGGCAGGGCTGTTGGAGACACAGAGACACGGTGACAGACTGACCCTGGCATGAAGTCGCACCGAGCGCACACTGCAAGGTCTTAACTGGTACACATAACACAGAGTATCATATCTAAAGTCTGGTGTATACACGCTTACTGCTTTTTTAACTGAAGATTTTTTTTCCTAGCTTGCTTTTTTTTTTTTTTTTTTCAATACTGGGGGGGGGGGCGATTTAGTGAAATAACATTTTAAATTTGATCATTTCCATGCTATGCCAGTGCACACACATGATTTGTGTGCCTCTTTTTATACATAGTTTAAATATTTGGATGGCCCAATGTCTGTTTTGACCTTTATCAAGAATAACTCACTTTACATTACACACAGAGTGACTGAGATACTCACTAACTTCGACGCTATTTCATAAGTTCAAACCCCTCAGCAGTTTTGGTCGTTTGCCTTTGGGAAGCCAGACCAAAGGTGATGGTTATGCTCCTCATGAAAACACACACTTCGCCCTGATAATGGAATTTTAAATGGCCTGCTCCTTATTAACTTTTTGGTTTATTAAAAATCAGGCCTGTTTCCCCATCCACAAGGCAAAGCCGCCAGTCCGTGTCTCTGATGCAGATTAATTACTTTTCTATGGACTAGGGAGGAAGAAGGGATGGCGGAAAGAGGAAGAAAGTAAAAAGCCGTTTGCAGTTTAAAATGGCAAGATATATATTTTTCTCCTCTGACGTTAATACATCTTCAGTGTGGCTGGCAGGCTCTTATCTGCAGAGCGACTGAGCCACGTCAGGCCCTGGTGAATTTTGATGATGACTGCAGGTCACCCAATGAGAATACACAATGAGAAATGCACTGGCTGACATTATACTCTAAGGCCTTGTCCTCAGTGACTTAAAGACTGAACCCTTTACTACTGAACACAATGTTTCCTTGAGCCTGCTTTGGGAAGGCTGCTGTATAGCTGGAAAGAAGCAATACTTTAAAAAATACTCGAGAATAAAAAAACACACTTATAGGAGTTAGTGAATTCTTGCCAGATGTTTTTGAAAGTCACCAAAAGGCGTACTTTTATATAATTCACCAATATTTGTGTAAGTAAAGGCATAAAAATGTTTTTGTTCAGGCTAAACAATGCCAAGGTGACTAAAGAGAATCCGTTCCTGAAATGCTGTTGTTTCAGTTTTTCCGGCTTCCTTAAATAGGGAGGAGGATTCAGAGCCATGCCTGCTTTGAGCCGCGGTTGATTGGCATAACATTTGTTCAGCTTTGAACCAAAATGAGACTTTCATCACAAGGAGATCCTCAGTTACACCTCTGCACAGGAACATCTTCCCCTGATCTGAAAGGTGTATTTATACACTGAGCGAGAACAATTCGCTGCTAAACTCTGCAAGGTGTCACCCTGCCTCTGACATTTCACAGGAAAACACAATACAAGGTCACAATTGTTTTATTTTCACACTGAATATGAAACAGGTCCAAGCATGAACGGATGATTACGTTATTCAGATTTGTCCCAACACAGGTTTTAAACCGGCATTAATACATCAGGCCCTCGGCTGCCTTCCTCCTCGCTCTTTTAATTTTTTTTTCTTTCCTTTTTTTTTTTTCTTGCAAGGCGAGAGTGCCGATGAATAATTGAACAGTCCCGCAGTCCAAATGTCACAGCAGGGAAAATTGTTTGCGCTGGCTGGTAATTAGAATTTCATTGTTTGTTATGTAGGTTTGAAATTCCTGTCATTCCACATTCCACCTTATCTCGGTGATGGCAGATATCTCCACGCTTGTCTATCTGGGGAGACACTAAGACAGAGATGGAGAGATGGCACAACGCACAATACATTTGCTCATTCAGCATAATCCAGGTCCTCTGTACAGACTCACACACTCACACACACACAGACACACAGACAAAGTCATTTCTACGCAAGCTTCTCCAAGATTGACACAAAACAGTGATTCCGGTTTAATTAGTCATTTTGTCACATAAATGCACAAAAATATTAATACAACAGCAACGTTCTCTTAACCTTTTAGCCTCCTGTTGTTTTTATGACTCTTCAGCGTTGTGTAACTTTTGCTGCTGCCATGTTCAGCACCGCCTGTGCTCATGACTGAGGCTGACATTTTGTCTCATTGCTTTCAATGTGTTTGTGCTGGAATGTGTGTGTGTGTGTGTGTGTGTGTGTGTGAGAGAGAGAGCCTGCTTCGTATTTGCATATGAGCTGTTTTAACACTGGCTGATGCAGTGTGCTGCTGTCTTGCTGCTCAAACTGTCGCACACAATATTTTAGGGTTGTTGCTCTCTTTGTCTCTCACTTATTCTTCTGTCAGAGTCAGTCTGGTGCGAGGGATGTGCACTGTTGCAATGTCATCGAGATTAGTCTGACTAATTTGGTACTTTATTGGTATATTTGTTGAGTCCAGCATTGTGTCTGTATTTTCCTTAACATTCTCCTTATTTGTCTGGACTGATAGTTTTGTGCCTGGCACATGGCACCCAGCTGAAATCAGAGGCACAAACTTGTGGAAATTTCCTTCAAATGAGTCACCACGAAGTTGGTGTTTTGGTGGAAAGTTAGTTGCAGAACTTGTGCTAAAAACAGACATCTCTGAGCTTCTTCTCTTCTCATGCAAAGTCATCAGGTGGAACACTGGGGACAACTAAACACTTGTTCCACTAATACAGAATACATTCAAACCAGAATTAAAATGAAAATGAAAATGAAATGTGTTCATCACAAACACTCAGTTACGCTCCAGTGTCGTCACCATCGACATGACTGAAAAACAAACGCATCATTTGTATTTCCAGACTTGTATGAGGTGTCCATTGGCTGACATTTGTTTTGTGAGAGTTAATATAGCTACAACTCCACCGCCAGTCAGGCAAAAACAAGCATCAAGATTCATCATGAACAGACTCCAACACCAACGACAAAACCTTTTGTAACAGATTTAGTCACTCTTCCTAAATTAGAAATCTTCAACTCATTTATTGTCTTTTAAGGTCAAATTGCAGGTTTAAAATACTTTGTCTTTTCATTTTCTATTATTTTTTGCCAGACTGAAAATTTGCTTTATTTAGCAATTACAGTTTTCCTCAGCAAGTGCCGCATCTCTTACTCATCCTCTTCCTCTTTCTTATTTTTTGCTCTTTTTCTGCCCCTCTCTCACCTAACGCACACTTTCCTGATTTCTAGTGCAAATCTGGTTCAAATCTAAATACTTTATCATGAAAGACAAACTGAACACTTTTGCCACAAGTATAGAATAATGTTACAGAATAAAGCATTGTCCAAGCCACGATTAAAAATTAAAAGTTCAGTTTGTTCTCGTCACTATGCACTGATCTGTAAACCAGTCTGGGTGATTCTTACAGTAACGGTAATTCAGAGCTTTTTCATGACTCAGGGGCGACATAAAGTGTCAACACAACACTGACATATCATTTAATGGCCCCCCTCTGGTGAAAAACAAGATTTTTACCTTGTTAGCATATTCATGTGGTGTTTTTTTTGTTTGTTTGTTTGTTTGTTTTAATGGTGGACAATACATCATGAGTGAAATAAGACGTCAGTGCCAATGCTGAGCATGTCCACCTTGAAGCTGCAGTGTGCTGATGACAGAACCAGACTTCAGGGGTTTTATATGTAACAAACTATGTAAAAATAATGTTTTCCAGCTTGTTAATTTAAGCTTCCTGTATCTGTATATTACTCCAATACTGAAACCCATTGTATGGGTAGCGTAGTTTTACAGTGTTTCAGCAGATAAGGTGAGCTGGTGTGCTTCAGCTGCAGCAAGAACAAGAAATGGTGAGTTACACTGCAGCAAGTTTGAGTAAAAAACTAATGTCATGGGGGAACAAAAAAAATAACTTTGACACACAGAGTTTTGCTGTAAGAGGTTTAATCAGTGACCACTGAGTGGATGAACTTGCTAGCAAACACTTGCTTGTCTACACACTGCAGTCATGGAGCTGGGTGTCACTCATTTAAAGTTGCACTTCTTGCTATCTAGCAAAGGCAAGTGAAATATTCACTCTGTTTTAGTTCTGCTTTTGGTCTCTACCAGTCCCTGTTGGGACTTGCTGCGGCTCACTATAAAGCAAAGCAGCTTCAGAGCCTCTCATTAAAATATGGCCTTTATTTTCTATAACAAAAAAAAAATCTCTAGCAGCAGGTTGTTGCTATCTCTGAAAAACTGGTTATCTCAAGGAATCCTAGACGGAGAACTACCACAGCAGTTGAATTCTGCTGGTCTGACTGAGCCTTTCTGGGAGTTTATATTGACTCGACATGTGCTTTAGCAAATTAGTAACCTTGGCCTTGCAGTTGCTTGCAAAAACAAACACTTTATTGCGCTCAAGTGTTATTATCATCAACAAGACTGAAGAGCAATTTTTTGTTTTTCCAGTCTTGTCTGATGTGTCCATTTGCTGACATTTGTTGCGTGAGAATTAATACGACCACAACTCCTCAACATTCCACACAAACATCAGGACAGTACATGTTCTCCACAAACTGAAGCTTCTCAAGCATCAAAGCAAAACATTTTGCAACAGATTTAATTAGTTTTACTGAATTAGAGTTCTTTAAATAATTTATGGGCTCTTTAAGGCCAAAGTTTAGGTTTAAATACCTTCTCTTTTTTGCCATTTATGAACATATTTTGCCAGATTAAAATTTTGCCTTATTCAGCTCTTTGATTGCAGATGATTATCCTCTACTTTTCTTCTTGTGTCTCTCTTTTACTCAATGCAGATTTTCCTCATTTTCATCAACCACAAGCTCCGTACGTCTGCTCACACTGTGGCTCCTTTCTTTGTTTCTGACTCCTTCTTTTGAAATCCGTTTTTTCATGCTTTTTTTAAAAAAAAAAAATCTTTGTTGTTGAGGATGCTTACCAGCAAACGAGTAATGACATTTCCCTCCTCTTTTTTGTGAAAGTACGCATCAAATGACAGATTAAGACGTAGCTGTTTTTCTAACTACAGTGGAATGCTGTTTTAAACTCCACAAAGGGAACGAACAGCACACATGCAGATTCTCACACAGAAATTAAATCAGCTCAATTAAGACATTAAACAGAAAAACGTGTCTGTGTTGGTTGATAATCACAAGTTATTTTCTAACCTATTGCTCTCTGTCTGTCACATCTCTCTTTATCTCTGTTTCTGACATTTTGTCTTTTGTTGTTCCCTCTTCCCCTCTCTCTATATATTTAGTCTCTCTTGATCTCTCTAGCCCTCCATCTCTCCCACCATCATTTCCTTTTGTTCTCTCTATCAATGGAGGATAGAGTTAAGTGCAGCTGTAGGCCAAATAGCCCGGTGATTGGCTCTCACTTACTCCTGCCTCCCCAGTGCATTTGAAATCACTGATTGCAGACAAGGTAGTCTAAATCAAAGCCCGGCTATAAAGGAAATGCTTTCAAGGAAAAAGGGGAGTGTGTGTGTGGGGGTTAAGATTTAGGTGCATTTTGTGTGTGTCTGCTGATGCCACTTTTATGTACCATATAATTTCAGACGTTTGAATCATTCTACATTGGCTGTACCTCCACCTTACTGAACAAACAACCAGTAAACTACTTTACAGCCAAGAAGCTGGTTTTTAAAAACCGACAGGCTGTCAGACCTTTTTTTAACTGATATCTAGTTTCATCTTAGCCTTGATTCCTTACCTTTACTGTTTTTCTTGCCTCCCCTCCCCAGACGCCCTAAACACGAGGAACAATCAGGTGATGTGCACCACCATGAAAGTCCTGCAGCATCTGGTGGCGTCTGGAGAAAAGGTGGGGGAGGCTCTGGTGCCTTACTTCAGACAGATCCTCCCCGTTTTCAACCTCTTCAAGAACAAGAACAGTAAGTTCCAGTCATGCAAACTGATGAGTGTTCATTCATGGGCAGATGGCTTGAAACGTGTCTCTGCGCTTTTGTGGAGTGGTAGCTTGTCTTTCTTTTTGTGCTAACATTGCTATGGCATCAGTGGATTGAGGAACAGCAGAGATACGTATTCATGTGCAGCGAGCAGCTTGTGTTAAGACTGCGATTGGGTAAAATAAGGTGATTCCACAGTCCTGGGAAATGCTCTGCAGAGGTTATGTCTTTTTTTTTATTTAACAGTGAGCCTTGCGACTTCCAGGATAAAAAGCATTCCTGTCTTCTACCTATTCTTCTCTGTGGATTCAATGTATGCTCCTGTCCCTGAACCTTTTTTTTTTTTAACTTTTCACTTCCTGCACTTAAGCATCCACTTGACAGGGAAGCTCCATTTTGTCTTTTCTGCTGTCAGTCAGGCTGCATTGTGCGGAGCTGTTTAGGAGGAGACTTTGTCCTTGCTCTCTCTGAAAGCCTCCACCTGGGTGACACCAGGACCTGGGGAGATTGGCATCAGATAGGCAGGGCTCTTTGTGTGGCTGTGTCAAAGCACTTAGCATGGTGTGACATGATGTGGGCCCATTGAAGGCTTAGAGGCACAACCGCTCCCAAACAGCACACAGTCGGTAGAATGTGGAGTGACATTGTGAATCAATCATTTAAACACAAGCTTTAACAGGAGAAAACACAAGGCTTTAGTCTCTTAATCAATATCCAATTTGAATCTCTTGTCTCTTTAATTCGCTTACATTATCTGTTACTATTTGCTGAAGTCTAAAAAAAGGAAGGAGAAAGCCGAAAAAGAGATAGCAGGGAAAGACAAAGGATGGAAAAGAAAAGCCTGCCTTATTAGCGTGTGGCCTTATGCAAATCTCCTCTGTAAATTAGCTGTCAATTCAATCCCCTAAACCGTTTTGAAGCCTGAGTTTCTCCGCTACAGCGCATGCTCAGAAGTTGGCCGGTGAACCCCAGCAGGAATAGTTTCATCTCTGTCTAGTAGTTACCGTGCCGGACCGTCTACCTGCCAGCCCGCTTGTCTGTCCTCCTCTGGCGAGCATTGATTAAACCTCAGCCAACCTCTCACCTGGCAGACGTCCCTGCTATTGACCTCTCCCTGAGAGACCAGTCTGGGCCAGAGAGGGGTCCATACAGCTGCCAAAGCACAGGACCCAATCTGCTAAACAAGGACTGCGCTTCCTGCTCAGCAATTTATAGGCATTCAGTAGAGTTTGTCTCTTGTAAAGTTTGACCAGAGTTGAGGCTGAAAGTAAAACGTAAAGCACGTCCGTGTAAGTAAGACGTCTATATAGGTTTGTCGATAATTTCATTGGATTTTCCCATCTCCGTCTGAGGCATCAGTGTTAGATGAGCTGTCAATTCATGTTCTACTCCACCCACTCCCCACGAACAGAGAAAGATACGACTCCAAATACAGAGAATTTATGCTTTTCTTTTTGGGGAACCAACGCTGTGTGAACCAGCACTGTGTGTTCTTTCTCTCTAATCCACAAATATTTTTCGGGTTGTTGTTGTCTCACAGACTTTCTCTGTATCGCTGCGTGTCTTTGTCTCCACTGTTTTATGTCTTGTTTACATCGATATCAGAGCTTTCATTGAAGTCCATCTATTATCTAATATGGCTTATATACACCTCCAAGTCCATCCCACGCTCAGTCGGCCGTCTCAACCAGAGCCAGCATGCAGCCTCTAGCAGACAGGCGCAATCATTGTGCTTAATACAGTAGAAGACACAGAGGACTGTCTCGTAGTGTGTGGTAACATCTCCCTTTGGCTCTCCCACACTGTAGCACACAGAGCCTGCATGGCATCCCTCTTATCTCCTGGACCACAACGGGGCCACTGTCCACTATGTGCCAAGTGTGTGTCTGCATTTGTGTACATCTGTCATGAATAGATCTGTTGTGTTCCATATGCAGCTGTTGGCTTCAGCATAGATGAGGGCCCCAGCTTTCCGTATCCATCTCTCCCTGTTCGCCGTTGTTGTCGCCGGTCTGCCAGCCTTGGGCGCACAATGCTCCACTAGACTTCTACGACATGCTCGCATACATACAGATACACACTTATACTGTCACACACTGTCCCAGTTGTGGCTACACAACCTGACTCTGTGCCTGTCTCCCCAGTTGTTTGAGCCGTGAATCAATAGGCTGACAGCCACTGCTGCAGGGTCAGGGCTACAGTTAGATATCACCAGCATCTCATCATGGGACAGATCCCCCAGGCTGTGTTCACACGCTCCCGCTGTGTCGCTCCCACTCTGAGACAGGGCTGTGACCTGTTAAATTGGTCTGTATACAGGCCTTATCTGAGCCATTTTTCCAAGGTCAGAGCTGGAACTTAACAGCCATCTCCAAAATGGACCCTTGGGTATCCGCTCACTCAGACAGAACACAGGACCTCTGACCAGAAGAGCAGAGTCGCGACCCACATGTTCAGCCTTTTCGGGATCTGGGCCTCTGAAGGACTGGCTCCATTGTTCAGTGAGAAAAAAAAAACAAAAACGCCTGTTTAACTCCAGGCAGCTGCCTGCCATTATTTCCACTGTCACAGTAATGCTTCATTTTGAAGTGCACAATAATGAGCGATCACATAGTATCACCGTCCTTGATGTACCCCTTTGTCTCCTGAATCAGCTCTCTCAGCTTTTGTTTGCTTTGTGCCTTTTGTGTATCAACTGTTGGTTGTGTGCGTGCGCGTGGCGGCTGTGTTTATACGTGTGAGAGACAATGTTGGGGACGGTGAAGGAATTTCTCCAATATGATTTGCACGGCTCTCTTGCTTGCTTGCTGTGATGAATCTTATCCCTAATGAAATGCAACAACGTTCCTTAAGAAGGAGAAATGCGCTCTGTCATCCAGCAAATTCCTGCTCTGAGCTCCAAGGAGGGGAATCATCTACTGTACTGTACGTCATATCAGAAAGACACAGAGAGTTTGAGAAGATTTGTAAGGCAGCGGAGGAAACTACACAGAAAATATTCAGGTGTAATGAACATGGATCAAAGGGTTGCCAATACTAGCCTTGTTTAATAGATCAAGTAATGACTAGATGTGACAGTAAATATAGACTCTTTGTCATTACCTGTTTTCGTATTTTTTGTGTGTATTTGGAAGTTTTGCATCAGAAAAACCTCACGGAAACTGCAAAGTTAAATAAGAAAAAAAACAGATTTTGAAAAGTGTTTTTTTGCTTGAAGGGCTTTTTGACTGTTTTGAAAAATGCACATAATGATTGATGGATGATGTCAAATAATCCCTGATAGTGAACATTTAACTCGCATCATGATCAGCTGCTTCCTCTTGCCTTGTTGCCACCAGACAGCTTGAGACATATTAAAAACCAGCTGATATGGCAGAAAAATCCCATCTCTCCCAGTTAAAAAACTGGGAGAGATGGGATTGGGAGTTGGGAGCCGAAAACAAAACCATGAATTATCTTTCAATCAAGTTTGAATTTCAAAAATTCAGTATATAGTAAAAGCTACTAATAAAACATGTATTTCAGGGTTTTAGCCAACACGCAGGCTGATGGTGTTTTTTTATTTATCTGATATGGTCCAATGCTTTCTGCATAGCTGTTATGATACAAGGAAATGCCACTCTATGAGCAATACACTGATAATAGCTTCAAATCCATTACTGATAAAGGATAAAGCTCAGTGGGTTTTTTTTTTTTTCTTCATTCAGTTTCATTATTTGATGGTGGACACAAGTGCAGCACAAATGGCTATAGAGGGGGGAGTAGTTTATGACATCTCAAGATTGAACATGGCTGTATTGTGTCTGAATGTAGTTGATGTTCGTCTGGAGGGCTTTCGTTGTATTTATTTGACCCTACATGGTAGCATTGTCGTTGTTGCTCTGATAATTTTCTTCGCTTATCTCCAAAGTGTAGGTTCTTAAACAGCTATTCATCACTGACAAATGCTCTCTCTCACACACACACACACGCACATGTAAGCACATATTCACGCACTCATACGTTGCTCACACACAGAAGTGATCTGGTTCATTTGGCCTCCTTTATCTTCCTGCTAGGAATGTGGCCAGCTTTGATAAGGTCTCACCCACATGCATTTCTGAGCCTACACACACACACACACACACACACACACACACACACACACACACTTAGGGGTTGTGATAGTGGCTCTCTCTGTCTTCTGTTCCCGGGCAACTGGTGAGGGTTTTTTGTGTCGATGACAGATGTGGTGCTGTGGCCGACCACACCGCCTTCTCCCCATGAGCCTGCTTTATCAGTGTATCACATGACATACACACACTCACAGCGCATGTTGGACGTCTTTATGAATACGGCAGATCGGTTACAGCCCACGCTGACCGTTGGAATGGAAACAGGGAGAGCTGGCCGTCCTCAGCCACCCATGCGCTCTGACAGAAAGACAGAAACAGTTAAGAACAAGCGGGCAAGGACACTCCATCCACTGTGGCTGGAGATTATGCACATGTAACTGTCATACCATGAAATCATGACAGCACACACCAACCAATTAAATCCAACGTTATTTTTTCTGACTCATTTTAATCTGACAGAAGGCCAAGCGTATGCCTGCGTATTCAACCACCTGTGCTCCTGTCCACAATACAGTATAATTCTCCCGTTTACTGCCGGATCGCTGCACTGTTGCGTATATGATGTTGAAGTTAATTCCTGGGGATTCCCATTCACAAACATTTGCTTTATTTAATGACCTTTTCCAACTGCTGTAGTGAAAAATTAATTCACTGCCACGCTTTCACTATGTACATAGCGACACAATGGAGGACACACACACACAAACACATGCACACATAAACCCATGGCCCCCATGTAATCCATCATCCTCCAGACACATGGAGCCTTTTTCCAGGCGGGCGACAGAACACACACCTCATCCTCAGCCCCCATCTCTTCTTCCACGTACCCCTCTCCAACAGGAGATATCTATCTATCAAACAATCACA